CTCTTTCCCCTTTTTTCTCTGTCTGGCAAACGCACACGCCCTATAGCATATGAAGGAAAGAAAAGGAAAGGCAGAAACAAAGGAAGGAAAGATAAAGCAGTGCCCTGTAAACCAAGAGCTCTTCGGGAGATCTGGGTTCTGGTCTCAGATTTCCTCGAAACACTGAGTAGCCTTGGACAAGCCCTACCTTATTCTGGGCGTCAATTTGCCCGTCAAGTAGTTGGTCTCTGAGATCTGAACGTTTATGAGGATAAGTGGCCCAGAAATGTACCAGAGAAGCCTGGCATAATGGAGCTTGTCTTCTGTTTGGCTCCAGCCTAAACATTTGAGTTCCAGCCAACAGGAGGAGGCAGCGGGTATCGCAGACGAGACCTCCCGAAGCCAGCACCCCCGCTTCCTCCGGCCAACGTCACTGGAGCGCGACGGCGTCGTCCACCGGGCGGCAGGGGCTTAGAAGGTCCTTTGGTAAAGGCCAGTTCAAACAATTCTGGAGTGTCTTAGAGGCCCAGTTCTCTGTAACCCACTCACCACCACCCTCCCTTCTACTTTACCCCCACTCAGCACACGAGCCCGGGCGACAGAAGCCCCTCTCGGAGCTGCCAGAGCCCTGTGTCAACGCGGCTGCGCAGGGCACGTGCGCATCCTCGCAGGAGTCCCGGCGATTGGCTGTGACGTAGCTTCCGGCGTGAGCGGCGAAAGCCGGGAGGGCGAGAGAGAGAGCGAGCAGCAGGCAGCAGGCGGGCGGGCGGACAGACGGCACGGAGGGAGGGAGCGAGCGAGCAGTGAGTACGCCAGCTAGGGCGGCCGGGTCCCGAGGGCAGCCGAGATTGCTCAGGTCCCTCCGGCCCCCTCCCCGGAGCCCACAGCGCCTCCGGTTTCCAGCGGAGCGGACACGGCCCGGCCCGGCCATGGCCTCGTTGCTGAAGGTGGATCAGGAAGTAAAGCTCAAGGTAGCGGCACCAGTCTGGGCCTCCTTCCCCTTCGCTTTGATCCCCCAGCAGTCTGGCCGGCTTTCCACTCCCCATGGCGTCTTTGTCTCCCTGGGGATAACATCTTTGAGCTTCCGCTTGGCTCAGCCCAGCCCCCAACTCCCAGAAATCGCATGGGGGAGAGGATAATATAAGGGTGGCTTTCTGTACCGCGTCTGGTGATGGAGAGCCCCCGGGAGATCTTTGCGGACACGTGTTGGACTCAGTGCTTTAGGCCAGTGACAGGTGGAAGTCCCCTAGCCCAGCAACGTTCCCGCCCCCGGACGCTGACGCTGCCCCTTGGCGGCTGGCCTGTCTTGTATCGTAGGCCAGGTCTGAATGAGAGTTGGCACGTTTGTGAGCTCACATCCCTCCTATCTTACCTGCCTTTTGTCTGCTTATCAAATTCAGACAGCTCTAGACACAGGGAGGGAGGGTGGGAGGGAGGGAAAGAAGAGACAGGTGGCTGCTGCCCCGCTTTCTTCTTCGAAGATGGAGAAATGGATCCTTAAAAAAAAAAAGTATTTGCAGTCTGGGGGCCTGTCAGCTTCTCATTATAATTTGAAGGTGAGGAAAGAATAGCTGGATTTGGGATTCCTCATCCTGCCCTCACCTCTGTTAACAGGTACTCAATTCAACCCTTGCTGAAATTGCTCTCTCTGTTTAATTTTAGGTAGATTCTTTCAGGGAGCGGATCACAAGTGAGGTAAGTGAAATAAATAGAAAAACGAGTGTTGGTTAGTAGCTGGGAATTTTCCATAGAGGAGATAGTCCTACCTACAGTTACTGATTCATCTGTATTTTCCCTCATTTTTAGGCAGAAGACTTGGTGGCAAATTTTTTCCCAAAGAAGTTATTAGAACTTGATAGTTTTTTGAAGGTGAGAAACTTTTTTTTCTCTTAAATTCTCCCTTTTTTTGGTTGCCTCTCACTTCTTGCCATTCACATGAAATGCTTCTTTGCTCAGCATCAAAAGACTAATGCTTTGGGGATGGGTGTCTTTTTTTTTTTTTTTTTTTTTTTTTTTTAGAAACCACCCTAAAAATCACACTCCAAAAATTCTCCCTTTTTTTGGTTGCCTCTCACTTCTTGCCATTCACATGAAATGCTTCTTTGCTCAGCATCAAAAGACTAATGCTTTGGGGATGGGTGTCTTTTTTTTTTTTTTTTTTTTTTTTTTAGGAACCAATTATAAATATCCATGACCTAACTCAGATCCACTCAGACATGAATCTCCCAGTCCCTGACCCCATTCTTCTCACCAATAGCCACGATGGACTGGATGGTGTAAGTATCTTATATTTGTCTTTGTGTTCTTAACTTAAGTAGTAAGTTCTCTGTCTTCTGTTTCCTGGTAAGTTTGAACATGTGCAGAGGGGTCAGTGGGATTTGGATCTGGGAACCAGGACTCTTGAGTTCTATAGACATGAGGAGTCTAGTATATCCTTTGTAGACCCTGATTTCTATTTATAGTATAAAACAAATATGCTAATGCAACGCTTATTGTTAGAGTGAGTTTCAAATGGAACTCACTAGCTATAATTAACCGAGTTTTCTCCATTGCTCTGGTCAAGACTTTTCTTGTTTTCATTTCAATGTCTTGAATCTTAGGATGAGATGAGAAGTTCTCACATGCTGTATGACTGCAGTTTCTGTCCTTCCTGTGCGTCTTTAGCACCTAATCTTACTAGTCACTTGTCCATATTGTATTATAACACTGATGACACTGTATTGGTCTTGATCTGCATTACTGTCTCATTGATAGAACTTGCACATCCTGGAAGGCAGGGATTATCTTAATCATCTCTGTACCTCCAGTCCTTAGAGTTGTTCCTGGATATAGCAGGTGCTAAATACATGCTTATTGGTTGAATATTGTGGTTTTTTTTTTGCGGAACCAGCACATTTGTACACATTTCCTTCTTGTATTGATAGGTTTCTTGTCTCTTATTCTTTATAGTATCTTCCCCTTTACCCCAGTTGTTAATGTGTTACATTTTTTGAGGGTTGGTCTTCTCAACTAGAGTATAAGTTACCTTGTGGTAAGAACCCTCTCTTTAGCCTTATATGTATGTAGGGAACTGGAGAAATTAGTAAGTCAGTCTGTGAGGTTGATGAAGGGATTAAATTTGCTTGCAGGGTTATCTTGTGTTGGGGATGTAGGTATTAAAAGTAGGCTGATTCCTGCCTCTTTGTGTCTTTAGCCCACTTATAAGAAACGAAGGTTGGATGAATGTGAAGAGGCCTTCCAAGGTAAGAACCACCCGTACCCCACCTAGCCTCACCTACCCCAATTCACTCTGCCCTGCCCCACCCTACCTCGCCCCACTACCCTGAGAAACAGGATGGATTTTGTGTTCTCCTGGCCAGGAAGCAGGACTGGGTTTTATTTTCCAAGTGCTCTATATATGGTCATTATTTAGTGCTCTAAACCTGTTGGGTTGTCGGAAAAGTGATGATGTATTTTCTGTTTTTCTATGCAAAAATGTGTCATGACTTTTCCAATAACCTAATAGTTTTCCAGTAAACAAAAAGTTTAACTTAGTGTGGACTGCTAAGGGAGAGATATTAGAGAGGGAGACTACAGAGCTCAGATTTTTTTATTTTTATTTTTTTTGTGCTATAGGGCATGTACACTTGCCAGGAGGAGAGGGAGAAAGAAAGAGATGGAGAGAAAGAAGGAAAGCAAGAAAGCCTCTCCTAGGGGGCATAACCATGCAGCAGTTCCTTCTCCTCTATTCCCCTCTCGGGATTTTGGACACACATACATATGTACCTGGAGTGTTTTTCAAGCTGCTGGGTCCAGGACTCAAGTGATGCAGCCTACCATGTTGCATCCAGAACTTTAACCACAATGCCACCTGCTGGACCCATAGCTTGGATTTTTCATCTAAGTCTCAGTTTGTATTATTTTTTTCTTCTTCAGTAATAGTTGATAAAGGAAGTCCTTAAGACATTTTTATTTTAATATCCTTTTTTTTTTTTAAGAGATTTTTGCTATAGGGTGCGTGCACTCGCCCGAGAGAAAGGAAGACAGAGAGACAGAAAGTGAGAAATCACCCCTGAGGAGGGATGGCCACACGGCAATCCCTTCTCCATTCTCCTCTCGGGATATTGGGCATGCACAGTCACACACCTGGTGTGTTTTTAATTTTTTTTTTAATTATTTTATTTAACTTCATTTATTTATTTGTTTTAATTTGACCAGAGAGAGACAGAGAGAGAGAGATGGAAAGAGAGAAAGCAAGCCACCAGGTCCAGGACTTGAACCATCCATCAGCCATGTGGGAGTCCAGAGCCCTTAACCATCTTACTACCTGCTGGCCCCACCCGGCATATTTTAAGCTTCCGGATCCAGGACTCATCCAGCAGTCGATTACATGGGAATCTAGCAACATAACCATTAAGCCATCTGCTGGTCCCCTTATATCCTTATTTGTAAGACTTTTGGCATACTTTTTTTTTTTTTTTTTTTTTAAAGGTTTGCTGTAGGGTAAGTAAGCTTGCCAGAGAGAAACAGAGACAGTGAGAGGGAGAGTGAGGAATTACCCCTTGGGTGATTGACCTTGCTGCAGTTCATTCTCTTCCATTCTCCTGGGATTTTGGGCATGCATGCACATGTGATTTTCAAACTGCCAGTTAAGGACTTGAACTATGGTTGGCCATGTGGGAGCCCAGCACCATAACCATTATGCCACCTGCTGGTCCCAACTTTTGGCATACTTTAGGTGCTCATCTGTTAATCCATACACATCTCTCTTTGCTTTTGAGATTGGTGTCGTGGTAGGATTATGACAGATAAAAGGCGTAGGTTATAGCATATCATGGGTTTGAAGAAGAAAAGAGAAAGATGGAGGAGGATTGCTGTGGCCTTCCCTATAACCCTAATCATTTGACCTTCATATCCTTGCCAGGAACCAAGGTGTTCGTGATGCCCAATGGAATGCTAAAAAGCAACCAGCAGCTGGTGGACATTATTGAAAAAGTGAAACCTGAGATCCGGCTGCTGATCGAGAAATGTAACACGGTAAGACGGGCTACTGACCCTTGGGCTGGCTCTAAATAATTCCATTTGAACCAAGACAAATGATGGATATGGGGCTGACGGCATGGAGGTGGTGAGGGGGTTGGCAGATTAGGTGTCTTGTCTCCTGGGTCCCTGACTTCTGTTCCCAGCAGTGCGAAACTTGTACAACATGACTTCAGCAGAAAAGCAAAGGCCCTCAAGTGAGGACCTGTATATGTATTTTGGTCCTCTCCCTCTCCAGGTCAAAATGTGGGTACAGCTCCTGATTCCCAGAATAGAAGATGGGAACAACTTTGGGGTGTCCATTCAGGTAATGTACTTGCTTTACAAACTGGGGAGAAAGCTTTGTCAAGCTTTGACAAGGTTTGTCTCATCATCTCCCCTGCTTTGTTTGTTTGTTTTTGTTGTTGTTGTTGTTTTCCCTTTGGGACTATTCTGGGGTAACATGGAAGTGGTTTTTGACTCACCTGTTCTTTGTTTTGCCTTTTTTTTTTTCCCCAGGAGGAAACAGTTGCAGAACTAAGAACTGTTGAGAGCGAAGCTGCTTCTTATCTGGACCAGATTTCTAGGTATGGCTGCTTGGAGTTGGCTCAGGAATTGGGGACAGGTGAGGTGGTGGCCACAGTCCAGGGTCCCCTACAGCTTCCTCCTCTTCTCTGTCTTTCCAGATATTATATTACAAGAGCCAAATTGGTTTCTAAAATAGCTAAATATCCCCATGTGGTAAGTAGGGGTTTTGTGGCCCAAGGGTGGAGGTGGCAGGACAGGGAGATGTGATCGTATCTGGAAGGAACTGTCCCTGGACAGTGGCACCTCTGCCCGTCTTTGTAGGAGGACTATCGCCGCACCGTGACAGAGATTGATGAGAAAGAATACATCAGCCTTCGACTCATCATATCAGAGCTGAGGAATCAATATGTGAGTGACCTTGGTCTTGGCCCACAGGAGCTCTGGCTTCTCTTTGTTCCTTTGACAATTTTCCTGAAACTCTCGGGGGGTTGAGATGGGATTGGAGATGAAATAAGAACAAATTCTCATCATTCAAGAGTTGAGAACTGTGAAGTAATGACTAGCTGGGTATCTCTTTTGCCTCTACCCAGGTGGAGGGGTGTGCAGTAGAGTGTAATGGTTAAGATGTGGGTTTCAGAGTCAGACAGACTTAGGTTTGGAACCAAGTTTTACCTGTAATGTGGAACCTTGAGCAAGTCATTCAAGCTCAGACTTGTTTCTTTGCTTGAAAGAGAGATTTTTTGCTATAGGATACATGCACTTGCCGGAGAGAGAGAGATGGAAAGAAAGAAATCACCCCACCCCACCCCTCCCTGGGAGGATGGCCATACCACAATCATTTCTCCTGTATTCATTGAGATTTTGGGTACGCATGCACATGCGCCTGGTATGAGTTCCAAGCCTTTGGATCCAGGACTCAGACCATAGTTGACCACGTAGGAGTCCAGCAATGTAACCACTACACCATCTACTGGTCTCCGGACTGTGGGGCTGGCTCTTTGGCACAGTGGGTGAAGTGCTGCTCCAAAGAAATGGGATTCCACATAGCAAACTGTGGTTCAAGTCCTTGCCCAGCCAGCCTGACACTGGTACATGGGCCAGTGCCCAGGATCTGATGGGCTGGAGGACTGGAGGAAGGGGATCACAGTATGACCAGACCCTGTGGAGGATGCTCATCTCTCTAGTGTGTGCATGTGCTCTATCATGAATAAAGAAAAATAGGGACCAGCAGTTAGTGTAATGGCTATTTTGCTGGACTCCCACGTAGTTGACCACGGTTTGACTTCCGGACCCAGTGGCTTAAACTCACGCCGGGCGCGTGTGCGTGCATGCCCAAGATCCTGAGAGGAGAATGGAGGAGAAGGGATTGTGGTGTGGCCATCCCCTCTGGGGGGTGATTTCTCGCTTTCTATCTCTCTGTCTCTGTCTGGCGAGTGCACGCGCCCTATAGGAAAAAAAAAAAAGAAAAATAGATTTGAAAAAGACATCATAAAATGGGACTTAGAACGAATGTCTACTGCCTAAAACTAGGTTGTTAAAAATAAGCTAGATAGCACATTAAGGGACTTAGTACAGTGCTCAGTAAATGTTTGTTGTTATACACTTGGGGCCTTAGTTGCAGGGTATCAGAGATAGCACAACCAAATGCAGGTTTACAAAGTGAGATTGGGATTATGCAGATAAATACTTTATGAGGTTGGGGGAGCCTGTCTCATTTTCTTGGTGAGGTAGGGGTTGAACAGACATGTGATTCATGTTTCTTCTTCTCTCAGGTCACTCTACATGACATGATCCTGAAAAATATTGAGAAGATCAAACGGCCTCGGAGCAGCAATGCAGAGACACTGTACTGAGGCCAGGGCCAGGGCCAGGGCCAGGGGACTCTTCTATTCTGGCTCAAGACCGACATTGCCTTGGTTTGTTACCTGACTATCGTGATGGGGAAACTGGCTGGAAATAGTAATCACACCTCTCTGTTTTTAGTTAGAGTCTAATGAAACGCTCATCTAGTTCTGTGATGTGTTTACCTCTTTTTTCAGGCCTCAGGAACTCTTCTATTTCCTTCCCTAATACTCCATACCCAAACTGTCCTTTCTGGAGAACTCCAGGTTTGCGTGTGCAGGATGTTGGCACAAGAACACTTGTGTTTTCTCTCTGCCTCCCTCCCTCCTGTGTCTTGGGCTTTGTGTTTTCTTTCTTTTGATGATTGTTGGTTAGAAGCTGAAGGAACTGGAAGGAAAGAGATTTTTTTTAGGAAATAGGGTGGCAGGAGGACCAGCTCTTCCCTTCCTCATGTAAGGTTAGTGTCTCTTGCCTTTGTGGGACATTGAAGACTCCCTGCCACAGTTGCCCTTGTGATGACATAGGGTCTCCCATCTGCATATATCCCACCTTGAACCTGATCATGACAAGAACCACCTTAGGCCTTCAGTCAAGTCCCTAGCTCCTTGGATGTTTTTATAGCTATAACTGGGGTTTTCACACACGTGTGTGTGCATGTATAGTCACATACACCACCTCCCTGCCCCTTTACCCAACAAACCTTCCCCTCCGTGACCCTGTCACATACATACCTTTCAGGAGATGGTAGTTGTCTTTGTCATCATCCACCCAGACAGAAGTCCTGGGACATCTTTCCTGGAGCCTCTGGGTGCCCCGGGTGAATTGGAGAGTCAGGAGGTGAGAGGCAGAGAGATTGGGGAAGGCCACTTCCCCTGTGGCTTGGGTCCTTTCTGCTTTATTGCAAAAGCTGGTCCTCTGACTCCTGGTTGCCTTTTCTCAGGCCAGTTGTATACTGGGGTGGGGAAGTCTGCAACTCTGAGGCCCAGATGCTGCTGCCCCTTTTGGGCTTTCCCTTTAGGAAATATTTCTCTTATTTATAGTATTGTGCTTCCAGGGAAAGCAGTCATTTGTGTGTATGCAGAAATAGGCTGGGCAAGTCAAAACCATGGAAGAGTTGCCTCCTGTCTCTTGAATCTTCCAGAAATACCATTTACTGTTACAGCTTTTGTGTTAACCCTCATCAGCCCCAACTGTTTACTTCTACTACTGGAGAGTCGGCTTCTGCAGTCAACCTGCCAGGGATTCTGTGTCTATTTATGACTTTTATTTGTCATCTGTGTGTCTGTCTTCCAAGCCGCAATCATATTTCCACCTGGGATGCATCATTTTTATCCCTAATATTCTGTAGAGAATGAGTCAGGATGCTGTCTTCCCATGAATAGTACTCAGTAACAAACCAATTGCATTTTAGTTGGGCAGTGCCCCAACCCACCCTCCAGATCCCTTCCAGCTAAAACCCTTCCCTCCCCGACCATGTGTTCTCAGTTTCCCTTTTTGTTTGTTGAATTGTTCCGCTGCCCCACCTCTTCACCCTACCACACTTGGATCGTAATGTAAAATTCTTTTACCATGTCAAGAAATTATTAAAAATACAGGTACTTTGACCTCTTTCTAAAGCTGTAGACCCTGGTGCGGTGCTGTGGTGGCCAGGGACATCCTCATTCTCATGTGTACATTGGACATCCACAGACACGTCTAGCCACTCTATTATGTGGCTTTTTGCCTCTTTTCTCTGGGATAGTGGAAAGACTGAGGCTTCTGCCTGCAGCCAAGCCAGGATGAGTTCTCCATTTGTGTTGAGTCTGAATTATGTGATAGTCCTTCTCAAACTTAAGCTGCCTTCTGTCTCTACATTCCCATGATCCCCGCCTTAACCAGTGATACCACAAACCGCCAGTAGAGGGCACTGTAGTTCCATGTGTGGGAAAGGACATGGTTCAAGGTATACCCTGCCCAGGCATTTTCTTCACCTTATACTAATTTCTCTCCCTAAATAATGTCCTAAATTTCTTCGAGAGACTCCTGGCCTTGGTTATCAAGTTACTTGGAGGGCTGCCTAGAAACCTGTCTCCCTCTGAAATAAAAGTTTCTTCAACTTCCACTTTGCAGGTAGCCTTCTGGTTTCCAGTGATTCCCCTCATGATCTCTGCAGGAAGATTTAAAAATTTTGGACAATGGAGGAACATCTGTTTTGTTCTGTTTCAGAGATCAGTACCAATAGCTAGTAACTTTTGAGTGCCTACTCAGTGTCAGGCTGTTAAATGTGCATGATCACATTTAATCTTCATGAATCCATAGAGTAGTTTTATCCCTTCTTTATAGACGAGGATGCTGAGAGCTCAGGATCAGAATCTGCCCTAAGGTCAGGGAGCTGGGATTGGTGTGCAGATCTGACTAGGAAGCCCAATCTCTTCTTTCTCTCTACTAGCTAAAAAAGGCCTGAGACTGCAAACCAAGGGCTTGGCTTAAGCTACAGGCAGAAATCCGTGCTTACTACAGACCGGGGTAATGGATCTTGCAACTATTAGGGTGCAGTGCCTGCTAGGAAGTAGAAAAATTGATGGTTTAGTGCCTACATGTACTATTCAGGGCCTGATTAGGCATTGATCCTTCCTCAGACCCCTCTGGGTAGAAGGTGGAGTTTAGCATCGTTAATCCAGATACCCTCTCATCTGGTCTGCATGATGGAAATCGGTATTTAGTGCTGACTGCTACCAGTTCAGAGGCAAGGAGGAGACTGTACGTGTGGAAGTGGTACCTTGAACTAAACCACAGGACAGAAAATTGGAACAGAATAAATCAAGGTCAGATATTTCCTGTCCAACCCACAGGGAGGAGTTTTCTCCATCCCTCTTCATCGTAGTGAATATAAACTGTAACCTGATGTCAGTAACTAGAAGGAGCGGCTGGTAGGACTCTGATTTCAGCTCTCAGCAGCCACCATGAATCTCAAGGTAGTCCTGGTGCTCCTGGCACTGTCCCTTATTACCATTTTTGTCCTGGCCTATGTCTTGCTGACCAGCCAAGGTGGTTCCAGCCGGCCTTCCCGCTGCCCCTCTGTATCCCAGAGTGCCTCGCCCTGGACACACCACAGCCAGAGCCAGCTGTTTGCAGACCTGAGCCCGGAGGAGCTGACCACTGTGATGGGCTTTCTGACTCAGCGGCTGGGTCCAGGGTTGGTGGATGCAGCCCAGGCCCGCCCCTCGGACAACTGCGTCTTCTCAGTGGAGCTGCAGCTGCCCCCCAAGGCTGCAGCCCTGGCCCACCTGGACAAGGGGAGCCCCCCCCCTGCCCGGGAGGCACTGGCCATTGTCTTCTTTGGTGGACAGCCTCAGCCCAACGTGAGTGAGCTAGTGGTGGGGCCTTTGCCTCACCCCTCCTACATGCGGGATGTGACTGTGGAGCATCATGGAGGTCCCGTGCCCTATCACCGACGCCCCGTGCTGAGAGCTGAGTTTGCTCAGATGTGGAGGCATTTGAAAGAGGTGGAGCTACCCAAGGCACCCGTCTTCCTGGCTTCTGTCTTCAACTACAACTACAACAGCTCCACTTTGGCATCTCTGCCTGCCACCCCCAGTGGCTTGCGCTCAGGGGACCGAGCTACCTGGATGGCCCTCTATCATAACATCTCAGGTGTTGGTGTCTTCCTTCACCCTGTGGGGCTGGAGCTACTGTTGGACCACAGGGCCCTGGACCCTGCCCACTGGGCTGTCCAGCAGGTCTTCTATCTCGGGCACTACTATGCAGACTTGGTCCAGTTGGAATGGGAGTTTAAGGCTGGCCGGCTGGAAGTGGTTAGAGTCCCTCTGCCCTCACCACATGGGACCTCGTCCCTGAGGTCTCGGGTCTCCCCGGGTCCTCTTCCCCCTCTTCAGTTCTCACCCCAGGGCCCCCAGTATAGTGTACAGGGGAACCTGGTGGTATCCTCCCTCTGGACACTGGCCTTTGGCCATGGGGTGTTTAGTGGCATGAGGATTTTTGATATTCGATTCAAGGGTGAGCGAGTTGCCTATGAAGTCAGTATCCAGGAATGTCTGACTGTCTATGGTGCTGACTCACCCAAGACAATGATGATCCGATATTTGGATAGCACCTATGGACTTGGCGGGAACAGCCGAGGCTTGGTGCGGGGAGTGGACTGCCCCTATCAAGCCACAATGGTGGACATCCATGTATTGGTGAATAGGGGGGCTGTCCAGCTGTTCCCCGGGGCTGTGTGTATCTTCGAGGAGGCTAAGGGAATACCTCTTCGAAGGCACCACAATCACGTTGAGAGTCATTTCTATGGCGGCTTGGCCAGCTCAGCTCTCGTGATCAGGTCTGTGTCATCCGTGGGCAATTACGATTACATTTGGGACTTCGTATTGCATCCAAACGGGGCACTTGAAGGGCGGGTCCACGCCTCAGGTTATATCAGCACAGCTTTCCTGAGTGGGGGGGAGAGCCTCCTCTTTGGGAACCGTGTGGGGAACCAACTGCTGGGGGCGGTGCACACGCATGCCTTTCACTTCAAGCTGGACCTGGATGTGGCAGGTGAGTGCTGAGAGGTGGGAATGGGGGCGGGCACAGAGGGAAGGGATTCCCCCAGATGAAGCTGAGATTTCCGGAAAAGCCAAGAGCTTGGCATCTCAGCACACAGTTACAGTGGCAACAGAGAGCAGGGACTGAGTATATCCAACTGCAGTCAGTGATCGTGGGCGACAGCTATCTGGCAAAAGGTGAAAAGGGTTTCCTCTCCGGTTCCTCTGTGGTTGTGAAACTAGTTGAAATGTGATGTCTGTGCCTGGCTGCCTCCTCTGTGGGTCACACCATGGGTGGGTGAATTGGCCCTGTCTGATGTTAGGGGGGTAGGGCTGGAGTCAGCACTTCGCTTCTTCCTATGATAGACCTGAGGGCCAGAGGGGGATGGGAGGCAGGGGTCTGAGTAGAGGTAGGAAGCGGTCTATAGAAAATTGCCAGGGGGGCGAGGTTGGGCAGCTGGAGGTGGTTCCACAGGGTAGTGCCACTGTCCTTGTGGGGAGGGCCATCCTGTTCCTGTTGACCACTTGTGATGTGCAAGCCGTCAGGGTTGCTGCAAGTATGGAAAGGAACTCAAAGCACAAAGAGGACTTGCTGCTCCTTATATCCTGTTGAGGACAAAATGAACTGACCAAATCACAGATTTAGACCCAGAAAGAAAATTAAAAATTCACCGGAGCCTCTGGACTTAACAGTTGGGAAAACTAAGGAGGGCAGAGGGAATGGGGGAGAAAGGGGAGAAAGTCAAGTGCAACATAATGGCATGTTTCTTATGAAACATTTTCTTGCTCTTGAGTACAAAGTCATGGTGCACATGGTTGTGTGTGTGCATGCACACGTGTGTGCACTTACACTGTCATGGGGGTGCTGGAGAGGGAGGACCAAGAAAATGCCATGATTGAAATGATCATATTATAGCCAGATTACTTTTATTTTTTTTGGTGGGGGGGAAGGTTTTTGCTATAGGGTGCATGCGCTCGCCAGGAAGACAGAGACAGACAGGAAACGAGAATTCGCCCCCCCCAGGGGGATGGCCACGCTGCAATCCCTCCTCCATTATCCTCTCAGGATCTTGGGCACACATGAACATGCACCTAGCATGAGTTTAAGCCACCAGGTCCAGGACTAGAACCACGGTCGGCTATGTGGGAGTCCAGCGACATAGCCATTACGCTAACTGCTGGTCCCAAGACCAGCAGTCTTTAACTCTTTAACATATTTGGACAGTGACAGTTTTCTGATGGGAATTCCTTTTCATCATCTTTGGCACTAAAGGGCCTTGTCTGGGGACGTAGCATCAAGTAACACTTGTTGGACCCCCTAGTGTGTGCAGCATAGGCCAGTGCTGTGGGGCCAGAGGCAATGTCAGGTGCCTGCGCACAGGGTGTGAGTGGAGCCCCTTCCCTGTGCCAACTACCTTTCCATAGGTCACACGTAAAGCAACCATCCAGACCTGCAGAAAGGTGTATGGACAAGTGCTGAGCTGGGTGATGCAGGTTATGCATGCAATAGAATACCAAGGAACTCCCAGGCAATTTAAAGCTAGAAAACTACTCCCAGAGACTGGGAGTACTGCCCAACCATGCCAAGATAAACAATGAAATCTCAGAGCTGGGTCAAATAGACAGGGACCACAGAAGGGGATTGATCTCTGTAGCTAGCTTCTCCAATCAAGACAGATGCCATTACCCCTTTCATAGTTACAAGAATGCTGCTCGTCAGCAGCTGTGCTTTTCCATTTATTGAGCACAGCCATCAACCGACTTTAATTTTGCTCAGTGTAGAGATTCAGGAGAATCAGAAGCAAATTGGCCCAGGGCCTACTGGGTAGACCAATGCTAGCAAAACTCTCCAGTAATAGAAATTTTTAAAATTCCTTTTCCTATTTGCCAGAAGGTATGTGCACTCAAAAGAGAGAGACAGGGAGAAAGACCCCCCCCCCCCCAATGTGGTGTCATGCCACAAACCCCTCTTCCCCATCTCTATCCTGTCTGGATTTGGAGCATGCATGCACATATGCCTAGTGTGTTTTTCAGACCTCTAGGGCTGGCACTGAAACTCACACAGTTGGCCATGTAGGATCCAGCGCCCTTAACGGCAGACCATGGGACTAGTTTTAGAGAAACATTGAAATACATACAGTAGCCACTAGCCACATGTGGCTGACTAACTGGACACATGAACTATAGCTAGTGTGACTGAGGAACTGAGTTTTTAAAGTCTCAGTAGCCCCACGTGACCAGTGGTTACCTATTGAACAGGATAAGTTAGAATAAGAGCCTGGCACTTACCTAGACCTTCCATCTCCTGCACAGAGCACTCTCTGATGTTCTCTGCTGTCTTTTGTCAGGCCAGCATAGTGGATATTGGGGGGATGATGAGTCCTATCCAAGCAACGTTACCTGGTATAGAGCTCCTCTCCCTTCACTCACCCCAACAGGGCTGGAAAACTGGGTGGTAGCTGAAGACGTGGTGTTTAAACCTGTGGCGGCCCCTTGGAGCCCGGAGAACCAGCTGCATCGTCCACAGCTGACTCGGCAGGTCCTGGGAAGCGAGGACCTGGCAGCTTTTATCTTGGGCAGTCCCCTGCCCCGCTATCTTTACATGGCTAGCAACCAGACAAATGCCTGGGGTCACCAGCGTGGGTACCGAATCCAGATTCACAGCCCCCATGGCATACACGTGCCCCTGGAGAGCAGCATTGAGAAGGCCCTCAGCTGGGGGAGGTGAGGAGGGTCCTGGGCAGGGGTGGAAGGGAAGGAATGGTCTGTCCACATTCCAACCCTGGGAGATCTAAGTCACTACTCGTGGCTTGCCATTGTCCCTTGGGCTTCCTTTGATACAGAGTGGGAAATGGTCTCACATAGAATCTGATCCAAAGAACTTTTGGGCCAGCAAAGGCCTTTGACATTTTCCATCACCACCTTCCCATAATTCCTGGTCAGATACCAGCTCGCGGTGACCCAGAGGAAGGAGGAAGAATCACACAGCAGCAGCATCTATTACCAGAATGACATCTGGACCTCCCCTATGGCCTTTGCTGACTTCATCAACAATGAAACCCTCTTAGGAGAGGTTGGTAGCCCAAGGGACAAAGAGCTCCTCTATGCTGGCATCTTGGCTACCCATCCTCTGGCCATAGGTTGAAGAGAATATGGGTTTCCAATTCTCAGACTCACTGGTCTCTGATCAACATGGGCCTTCCCTCCTGGGGTGAGATTAGCTCTGGGACAGTGAAACCTCCCCCAACCCCACCCCACACACACGGCTGCCCAAATGGGTCCCTGCACATATTAGATAAGGCTGGACAGAGGTGGGAGCCAGGCTCAGGCTGGAGGTTGGGGATTGTGGCTAAAGGGTGGCTCTCTGGGTCTTGTCTCCAAAGTCCTCCAGCTCCTTCCTTTTCCTGCAGGATCTGGTGGCTTGGGTTACAGCAAGCTTCCTGCACATTCCGCATGCAGAAGATGTCCCCAACACAGTGACTCTGGGGAACAGAGTTGGCTTCTTGCTCCAACCCTATAACTTCTTTGATGAGGACCCTTCCATCTTCTCCCCTGGCAGTGTCTACTTTGAGAGGGACCAGGATGCTGGGCTCTGCAGTGTCAACCCTGTGGCTTGCATCCCACACCTTGCAGACTGTGTCCTGGACTTGCCTCCATTCTCTTACCGAGGCTTCTAGACCTGAGGGTGTTGTGGGACGCTGAGGTGAACTTGTGAGTTGAGGGAGTAGGCATGCACCTTCCTCTCTGTTCCCATTTCCTGTTCCTTGTGTTTCTATCACATCTCCCCAGACTCCCAACCTCTCGATGCTTTTTTGGAAACACCCTCCTCCCACATCCACTCCCCATCTATTCCCATATATCCCACTGTTTAAGTCTTAGAATTCTGTTCATTTTTTCAGAAATAAATTTATGAAAAGTGATTTTTTAAAGCGATTTTTGCTATAGGGCACATACACTTGCTAGAAAGACAGAGAAAGTGAGAACTCACCCCCTGGGGGGAATGGTCACTCCACAATCCCTTATCCTCCATTATCCTCTTGGGATTTAGGGCATGCACACACATGCACCTGGCATGAGTTTCAAGCCACCGGGTCTGGGACTCGAACCATGTTGACCATGTGGGAGTCTAGCACCTTAATCACTATACCACCTGCTGGTCCCTGTTAAAGTGATTTGAAAATACAGCAAAACTACCAGAAATCTTACTACTCAGAAATAGCTGGTGCTCACATTACCAGACTTTTCTTTATGCACATGCATTCAAAAGGAAGAGCAGATAGATTTTATAAAATCAATGTTATGTGTAATTTATAATAAAAGGTATCACAAAGATTTTACTGGAGTTAATTTTGTTGGGCTTTTAAGTCTCTAGATTCCCCCAGAGAATATTAAGGACTCTGGCCAAGGAAATTAGCAATAGAGTAGAGGGCGAGGGCTGGGGGCGGGGTAAGGGGGAGTGTTTCCTTGGAAGAACAATGGTTGGAAGTTACAGGAAAGAGAACATCTGGCCCTGGGAAGGTGGGGTGGGAAGAAGCTCAGCTGCAGGGCACAGGGCAGCTCAGTACAGTCCCAGCTCACCCCTGGTGTGGTCTTTCCCTGCTTAGGCTGGGCAGCTGCACTATCTTGAATATTCCTTCCTCTGCTTTCCCCAACTCCAGCTCTCCCTAACTCCAACTCTAACCCAGAAAGCAGAGCTGATTTGGAGCATGGACGACAAAGCCATGTAAGGACTGTGGAAATCGCTGCTGCCGGCTCAGGCCCGCCCCCCAACCCCAGCCTGCCCCTCCTCCCTGCCCCAGCCTCCCTGGGACCTCCCCACCCTCATTCCCAGATATCAGACTACCAGGAACCTCAGCCAGAGTCCCAGAATCCTAGTCTAGGAGCCGAGAGCCCACTCATGCTGGTCTGAGGATACATAGCTCTACCCTGCTGGAATCCTTGTCCTTCACAGGACAATGAACCAGAAGACCACCCTGGTGCTCCTGGCTCTAGCTGTCATCACCATTTTTGCCTTGGTTTGTGTCCTGCTAGTGGGCAGGAGCGGAGATGGGGGTGAACCTAGCCAGCGTCTTCAATGCCCCACCGTATCATCCAATGCCTCACCCTGGACGCACCCTGACCAAAGTCAGCTGTTTGCAGACCTGGGCCCGGAGGAGCTAACCGCTGTCATGGGCTTTCTGACTCAGCGACTGGGGCCAGGGCTGGTGAACCCGGCCCAGGCCCGCCCCTCGGACAACTGCATCTTCTCCGTGGAGCTGCAGCTGCCCCCCAAGGCTGCAGCCCTGGCCCACTTGGACAAGGGGAGCCCCCCACCTGCCCGGGAGGCACTGGCCATCGTCTTCTTTGGTGGACAACCCCACCCCAACGTGACTGAGCTGGTGGTGGGACCGTTGCCTCAACCCTCCTACATGAGGGACGTGACTGTGGAGCGTCATGGGGGTCCCCTGCCCTATCACCGACGCCCTGTGCTGATGCGAGAGTACCTGGACATAGACCAGATGATCTTCAACAGAGAGCTGCCCCAGGCTGCTGGTCTTCTCCACCACTGTTGCTTCTACAAAGGACGAAAAAGGAACCTGGTGACGCTGACCACAGCCCCCCGTGGTCTGCAATCAGGGGACCGGGCCACCTGGTTTGGCCTCTACTACAATATCTCAGGGGCTGGGTTTTTCCTGCACCCTGTGGGGTTGGAGCTGCTGGTAGACCACAAGGCTCTGGACCCTGCCCACTGGACCATCCAGAAGGTGTTCTTTCAAGGCCGCTACTATGAGAGTCTGTCCCAGCTGGAGGACCAGTTTGAGGCCGGCCTGGTGAATGTGGTGCTGATCCCAGACAACGGCACAGGTGGGTCCTGGTCCCTGAAGTCCCAGGTGCCCCCGGGTCCAGCCCCCCCTCTGCAGTTCCATCCCCAAGGCCCTCGCTTCAGTGTCCAAGGGAGTCGAGTGGCCTCCTCATTGTGGACTTTCTCCTTTGGCCTCGGAGCTTTCAGTGGCCTGAGGATCTTTGACATCCGCTTTCAGGGAGAACGCCTGGTTTACGAGATCAGCCTCCAAGAGGCCTTGACCATCTATGGTGGAAATTCCCCAGCAGCAATGCTGACCCGCTATCTGGATGGTAGCTTTGGCATGGGCAAGTACTCAACGCCTCTGACCCGTGGGGTGGACTGTCCCTACCTGGCCACCTATGCTGACTGGCACTTTCTTTTGGAGTCCCAGGTCCCCAAGACAATTCATGATGCCTTCTGTGTGTTTGAACAGAACCAGGGCCTCCCCCTGCGGCGACACCACTCAGATTTCGACTCCTACTATTTTGGGGGTGTTGCAGAGACGGTACTGGTCGTCAGATCAGTGTCTACCTTACTCAACTATGACTATGTGTGGGATGTGGCCTTCCATCCCAGTGGGGCCATAGAGGTCAGATTCCATGCCACAGGCTACATCAGCTCAGCGTTCCTCTTTGGTGCTGCCCGAAGGTATGGGAATCAAGTTGGGGAGCACACGCTTGGCACCATCCACACCCACAGCGCCCACTTCAAGGTGGATCTGGATGTAGCAGGTAAGCCCTCCTTTTGGGGGTGTTGGGGAGAAAAGGCTGAAGAGTAGTCTCCATTTGCTTTGGGTTCACATAGGTTATCCAGGAAAGAAAGACTCTTCTTTTCATTCTTTCTTGCTGGGCGGGAGAAAGTGGACTGCTGAATTTTATTTGGATCTTAGCTCCCTGGCTGGGGCAGTGCTCTCAGCCTCCCTCCACGTGACTGTACTGGAAAGCCTTGGGAAATGGCTAAGCACATGGAGGAGACAGCATCTGGGCTAGCAGGGTCTCCGCTGCCCTCTTCCTGCCCTTGCACTTAAACGGGCTTTACTTCAGAGAGGCAGCAACTCCTTTTTCATCTTGTTTCTCTGTGTCTGGTCTCTGACTGGTGTGTTGGAGCATCAGTCTACATTCTGCCGAGTCCTAGGCATGTGCAGGTCAGTCAAGGAAGCACCCCGGGTTGAATTTTTGCTTGGGAAATGGAGCCTCCTCCTCCCTGATTTTCCTTCTCTCTGGGCACAATTCACTTAAATCCCCCACGGTGGATTTCACCGACTTCATCAACAAGGAGACCATTGCTGTACTGAAGTGTGTGTGTGTGGGACCAGCAGTTGGCATAATGGCTATGTCACTGGACTCCCATGTAGTCAACTGTGGTTCGAGTCCCGGAACTGGTGACTTAAACTCATGCCGGGCATGTGTGCGTGTGTGCCCAAGATCCCAAGAGGAGAATGGAGGAGAAGGATTACAGCATTGCCATCCCCCCTAGGGAGTGATTTCTCGCTTTCTGTCTTTCGGGCAGGCTCATTTGCCCTATACCAAAAACCTCTCTAAAAAAAAAAAAAAATTAAGGGTGAGGGGGTAAGCTGGGTGGGGGGCTGTGGTGCATTCCTGGAGCTGGTGGTCACAGAGAGTGCTAAGTGTACGTGACACCTTGGAGTCTTCATCTTTTGTCTATTCACTTTCCTTTCTCACGCAGTCGGTCTCTAGATTTTTTTCTGTTCCACTTCTCAAATCCTTCGCTGGGTCAGCTGCCGGCCCTATGGAGGTGCCGGCTTGCTCTCTGCTGCCACTGCTCTTGTGGCTCCAGATCCAGAGTCTGCTCTGTGCCCAGAGGGCCCTCCAAGCCATGCCAGCCTGTCCCTCACACAGCTCTCACCTTCCCTGTTACCTGCAGGACATCGTCCGTAGAATGACCTGCCAGGCCACAGCAGATCCAAGCGGCTGTGCAGCTCCTTCCCCAGCTCTGTCTTTGCCAAATTCTCCCCATCCCTGGACACACAACCCTTTTCTTTCGGTCAGGCTCCTTCGATTTGGCTTACGATTTGCCCTACCTAGAATGTCTTTCCATGCTCTGATGGTGATATCATCTAAGACCAGGCTGAAAAGCTGCTCTGGGAGGCCCCCTTTTGCCTGCACCCGTATTGCCATAAGCTGGAACCCACCTCCTCAATCCTCTCACATTGCAGGTCAGTCAGTGGTTGGCCTCCTTTCTCCTGAGTGCTTGAGGATGAGGATGGTGTTTCATTCACTTCTGTCCCCAGGGTCAAGCACAGTTCTCACCACTAATAATGTTGAAAGGATAACTGATTGAAATTGAGTGAACTCTTTGAAGAAATATTTTAATGTGTAAGTCAACAGCTTGAGCTGAGAGACTGGGGATCTCTTGGGGAAAAGGAATGGAAGCAAGGGGCATACTCTGAAGCCAGGTAGAGGCAGAGTGCAGACGGGCCAGGGCATGACAGTCCTTCTCCCCACCCCCATCCCCTGAGCAGGACTGGAGAACTGGGTCTGGGCCGAGGACATGGCCTTCGTCCCCGTGACTGTGCCCTGGAGCCCTGAGCACCAGATGCAGAGGCTGCAGATGACCCGGAAGCTGCTGGAGACAGAGGAGCAGGCGGCCTTTCCCCTGGGAGGTGCCACTCCTCGCTATGTGTACCTGGCCAGCAACCACAGCAACAAGTGGGGTCACCCACGGGGCTACCGCATCCAGCCACTCAGCTTTGCTGGGGAGCCGCTGCCCCAGCCCCCCTGTTTGCCGGGGGAGCCGCTGCCACAGAACAGCTCCATGGAGAGAGGCTTCAGCTGGGGGAGGTGAGTGGTGGGCTTCAGAGGGGGGTGGGCCTAGTGAGAGTGGGAAGGCAGCCTTGCAGGGTCACCTGCGAACTCAGTTCTAACTATGTATGAGGTGAGGCGAGAACTCCGGAAGGATTTCCAAGCTATCCCAAGACACCACCAAGGGCACATCTTCCCTTGGAAGGCTGAAGCCCAGGAGTGAGAACTTTTTTCTTTTTTGGACAGGGAGGGGTCATGCTATGAAATGGTAGAGGGATGAGCAGGGGGACACACCCAGCCCCATAGTGTCAGGGACCCTGCAGCACTGAGTCACTGTGTGAATGCGATGTGGAAGCCAAGGTCAGAGCACTCAGTTTCCGCTGTCATGATCAAGGAGCAGAAGGGGGTTAGTGACCGTGGAGGCCTGACCAGTGCCCCCCTAGGTACCAGCTGGCTGTGACCAAGCGGAAGGAGGAGGAGCCCAGTAGCTCCAGCATCTACAATCAAAATGACCCTTGGGACCCCACTGTGGATTTTGCTGACTTCATCAACAATGAGACCATCACTGGAAAGGTCAGCTGACTGCAGAGGCTGAGGGAGGGAGGTGAGGCACCTTCTCTTGGGGGAGTCCTTGAAAACCATCTGATCCCCTCAGGTACGGAGGGGATTCTGTGCCTTAGGGGATCTGATAATTACTTTGGAGAGACTCTTCCTGAGCTGGGGGTGTGTATGCAGACACTGGTGAGGACCTTAGAGCTCTCTAAGTCCCAGCTTGGGCCCTGGGACCTCAACGCTTGTTTCAAAAGCTTCTCCCATTTCTAGCTCAATCACTAAGGATGAATGTCTCCCTGTTGGCCTGTTCTACCTTCCAAACCTTGAGCTTCCCATCTCTATCCTTCTTAATGCATTTATGGTTTGGGAACCATCAGAGAGCTGGAGAGAGAGGAGCTGAAGCAGCCAGTGCAGGTCACCACTCCTCTGGGGGTGGATAGGCAGAGCATACTACAATGAGGAATGTCAGAGACAGAAGATGCAAGCCAAGGACAGGGAAGCAAGTGTTGTTCCCAATATTAAATGGACCAGGTGTGCTTTGATGTCTTGGCCAGTAAGAAAACATCACTCCAGACTCAAGATCCTTGGGCTAGTGGGCTGAGTCTTTACCTGCAAAGCCTCTGTGGGAGGAAGGGCACGTCCTTAGCAAAGCCAGACCACAGACTGTCTTTCTTTTCCCCTGCCAGGACTTGGTGGCCTGGGTGACAGCTGGTTTCCTGCACATCCCACATGCAGAAGACATTCCCAACACGGTGACCGTGGGGAACAGTGTGGGCTTCTTCCTCCGACCCTACAACTTCTTTGATGAGGACCCCTCCTTCTACTCTGCCGACTCCATCTACTTCCAGGGGCACCAGGATGCTGGGGCCTGTGAGGTCAACCCCCTGACTCGCCTGCCCCAGACTGCTGCCTGTGCTCCTGACCTCCCTGCCTTCACCCACGGGGGCTTCTCTCACAACTAGGTGGTCCTGGGATGGGGCATCTGGCCAGGGTGTGAGAGGTGGGGCAGCAGCCAGGCCTGGGCTAGGTGGCCTGGTTCCCTGGTGTCCTTCTTCACAGTCCTGGGGTCCTCCCTTCTTTTCCCCAAGGTCCCCTCTTGTCCATTGCCCTCCCTGGCATCCCCTTCCCTGCCAGGAGCATCCTGAGCCTGTGATGCCTGCCCCAGGGAGAGACTCAGCTCTGCTGATCCCGGCTGTGCTGAGGCCCATCCAGAGCGAAGGGGATTGGCCAGCAGAGCCTGGGTGACGGCCAAGCTTTGTTGAGAGTGACTATCTTTTTTGTTGTCTGACTTTCCCAAATATTTTAAGCCATCTCTGAAGACTCTGTGATGGGGATAGTTGCCTAGAGGCCCTAAGGCAGGTTTCCCGCCAGTCCTATGAGCCCACAAATGAGTTAGAAGGGACCCTTTTACCTGTATTCCCTCTTGCTCAAGTACCTTCCCCCCTCTTCTTCCTCCTTTATGCCTACTGCCTTCTCAACCTGTTCCCCGCCCTCTCCAGCCCCTCCCTGCATGTGCACTTGCCAGAGAGAGACAGAAGGAAAGTGAGAAATCACTCCCCAGGGGCGGGGCAGGGTGGGGGAGGAGGGGGGCGGATGATCATGTTGCAATCCCTTCTCCTCCATTCTCCTCCTGAGACTTTGGCATGCACAGACACACAGGCAGCCTGATTTTCAATCCTGCAGATTCCGTACTCCCAGGATTCAAACTGCAGTCAGCCATGTGGGGACCCAGTGCCTCAACCCACACCTGCTGGCCTTCCTCCTATCCTTGCTGCTCTTATACCCTGGGATTTCCCTTCTACTCCTGCTGCCATGTCCCTCTGGCCCAGCCACTGGTGCTCCCCCAGCCCTCATTTCTCAATTTCAGTCTTCTGTCCTGGACCTGGGCTTGTGGGTTTCTCAAAGATGATGCAGCAGGTGGCATGGTGGTTAAGGGTGCTGGACTCCCACAAGGCCGACTACAGTTCGAGTCCCGAAACTGGCGGCTTGCTTTCTCACTTTCTCTCTCTCTCTGACTCTCTCAGGTAAAATTTAAATAAATAAATGAATAAAAGCTAAAAAACAAAACAATTCTTTTTAAAAAAGATGCAGGGAGATTCCTAATTTGAGAAGATAATTATATCTGTCATATATAGGGGGGAGACGGTTCCCCACCCCTGTTTAGGGGCAGGGCGTATTTCTGGATAGTTCCCTCTGCCCATTTGTATCACCTACCTTGTATTCTCTGGAGGAGCATGGTTATAGTGACAGCAGCAGCTCACGTTAGCATTTTGGGTGGTTTTGTGAGTGCAATGATGGAGAATGGTCATTTTGTGCTGGGGCTGTGTCTGCCCAGTGGCTTCTATATTAGGCGACAGCCAGTTTGGGAGACTGGTGGGAGCATCAAGGATGAGAAGGAAAAAGCCCCAGGAGCTCCCACCAGGCAGGGGCTGTCCAATCACATGCAGGCATGCAAATAACTTAAGCCCTCCTGTGGGAGGGGCCCTGCCTAGGGGGCACCCACTTGCTCCAGGCTCTTTCATCCTGCTCTTCCTCCTGGGGTCTGGACTGGGGTTACCCCAAAGAAATAGCCAGAGATTGAAAATAGTAGAAATGCCCATCCCTAGGGGATTGCTGAAACTGGTTCTGAGACAGCTTGTAGTGTCATACTATGCAGCTAAAAAAATCATGTGTCCTTAATACTAATATGGAATAATCTTCAAGTGAAAAAGGCAAGGTGAAAAATGTGTATAGTGTACTTCCTATCTGTGTTTCAGAAAGGAGAGGAATGTACTCGCCCATATATGCATATTCAGAAGAAATGGATAACGGGGGAGGGAGGGGACTGAGCACTCTGTACCCTTTTGTACATCTTAATTTTGAACCATGTGACTGTATTACCTATTCACTAAATAATAAATGGGCCAAACAGGAACTGACTGCTTTTTAAACTGATATATCTTTTAGGACCACTTGGGTTGAGCGGGGAGGGTAAAGTGGATTGAAGACCAGGCCTAGGAACTAAATGTCCTCAAAAAACTAAATTCTTAAGAACCAGAGAAGTATGGGATTAGCAGTTGACATAATGGCTATGTCGCTGAACTCCCATGTAGTCGACCGTGCTTAGAGTCCCGGACTCAGTAGCTTAAACTCACACTGGGCACATTTGCGTGTGTGCCCAGGATCCCTAGAGGAGAATGGAGGAGAAGGAATTGTGGTGTGGTCATCCTCCCTGGGGGTGATTTCTCACTTTCTGTCACTCTGTCTCTCTGACAAGCACATGCACCCTGTATCAAAGACCTCTCCAAAACAACAACAAAAATGAACCAGAGAAGTAGGGGTGGCCTCTAGTAACCTCTTTGCCTTCCCTTTCTTGTGTAACTCTGAGGAAATGTTAAATGCCAGCAGATGGCATAGTGGTTATCTTGCTGGACTCTCACATGGCTGACTGTGGTTTTAGTCCTGGACCTGGTGGCTTGAAAATCATGCCAGGCACGTGTGCGCGTGTGCCCAAGATCCCGGGAGGAGAATGGAGGAGCAGGGGTTGTGATGTGGCCTTCCCCCCCGGGGGGGATGATTTCTCACTTTCCCTCTCACTGTGTCTATCTCTCTCTGGCGAGCACAAGGCAAAAACTTCTAAAAAAAAAAAAAAAAGAAGAAGAAGAAAAGCTCAATCTTCTCTGGAACCGACTTCCCCTCTGTCTTGCTGTCTCTGTCTCTCTTAGAAGCAGGAGTGCTGAGACATGATGGGGAGGGTGACTTCCACTTGCTGGAAGGCCAGGCCAGCAGGGCAGGAGATGAAGTATAGGAGCCAGATTCTGGATGCCTCTCAGCTTCTGACCAGCGAGAGCTCGTGTTCTGGCAGTCCAGGCACCACAGAGGAGTCTGCACCGTCCTTCTGTCCTGCCCACACAAAGTTCTCCAAGTCAATGGAACAATGGATGGGAGGAGTCAGTGAGCTAGAGAGAAACTAGGGAGAAAGACTTTAGTGAGGAGCGAGGGACCAGCAATGGAGGCTTAATTTACAACATGGCCTAGAGTAGAAAGATGAGGACAGGGAGAGAGTGAGGACAAAGAGAGTCTGGAAACTGACCGGCGGCAAAAAGGGGGTGCTCAGTCATCCTGATTACACACTCTTTTCCCTTAGACCTGAGGAATTTAACTACTCATGTCTTTATTTCTTTATTTTATTTGGCAGAGGGCACGTATGCTCATCAGAGAGACAGAGAGACAGTGACAAAGAGAGGGAAGGAGAAAGTACCCTCCCATTGCCCAACTTTCTCCCTCCCTCTCTTTGTCACTGTCTCTCTCTCTCTGATGAGCATACGTGCCCTCTGCCAAATTAAATAAATAAATAAATAAATAAATAAATAGTTAAATTCCTCAGGCCTAAGGCCATGCCCATGCCACAATTCCTTTTTTCCCCATCTCTGCCTCTTTTCAGGATTGTGGGCACACATGCAAATGCACCTAGCGTGTTTTTCAAACCAATTCCAACAGCACCATCAGCCATGTGGAATCTGGCTCCCTTAACCACCAGGCCCTGGGGCTGGTCCTTATCTTCTTTAAGTGCATATTCTCTGTTTCCACCTTCCAAGGCCTCCTTCTATGGCACCAGTCAGTGCTGGGGAGAAGGGGAACCCTGTTGGCCCCCCCACCACTGTCTTGTTCACTTGAAATTCACTACCTCCAAACCCATTTCCAGACCAAGGAGTGAGTGGCTGTGGTGTGTGTGTGTGTGTGTGTGTGAATGCTCACAAGCTTTTATGAAAATGTGACTGATTATGTCTCTCTACATCCACCACAGAGCTACCACCTTCTGTCCCAGGACCCAGATGAAGGGAGGCAAAAGTGATCAGCTCATGGGGACATCAGCCCATCAGGAGGGCTGCATGGTGAACCTGTAGCCCCCTCCCCTGAGCCAGTCTGTTCCATGGACCATTGATGTCTGGAGTCTTGGCCTCAGACTTGTGGTCAAATGTTGAGGGTGAAGAGACAGAGGAAGTCAGGTTCAGAAGGAACTGATGTTGGGACCAGCAGATGGCATAATGTTTATATTGGACTTCCACATGGCTGACTGAAGTTCGAGTCCCAGACCTGGCAGCTTAAAACTCATGCTGGGTACATGTGTGTATGTGTGCGTGTGTGTCCAAAACCCCAAGAGGAGAATGGAAGAGAAGGGATTGTGGTGTGGCCATCCCCCCCACTCCCTGGGGGTGATTTCTTGCTTTCTGTCTCTCAGTCTCTCTGGCAAGCGCACACACCCTATAACAAAAACCTCTTTTAAAAAAAATGGAAGGAACCGGTGTCAGATGGATTATATCTTTAGGAGCTGGGGCCCATCGTCATGAGAGATTGGAGCTGGGCAAGGGGACCCATGAGGATCGCAGCGCATGACTGAAAGCCCCTGTGAGGGACAGGATGTGCCTACCTGCTCTCCTCTCACAGCCCCAGGGCAGTTCCAGCGCCTAGTACAAGAGATCGATTCCTAGAGGAGCCACACAGCCCTCGCCTGTGAGAAACAGAGGCAGCTTTGCTCTCTGCATCTGCACCATTTTGGAAGAGGGTTTCCTAGAGTTGAGGACCATGGGCCGCTAGATCCAACTCCACAGGCTGTTTCCCACCCCACTTTTTTTTTTTTTTGGGGGGGAGGTTTTTGCTATAGGGTGCGTGTGCTCGCCAGACAGACAGAGAGAGACAGAGAGACAGAAAGCGAGAAATCAACCCCCACACCGCAATCCCTTCTCCTCCATTCTCCTCTCGGGATCTTGGGCATGCATGCACACGTGCCCAGCATGAGTTTTAAGCCACCGGGTCCAGGACGCGAACCTCGGTCGACTATGTGGGAGTCCAGCGACATAGCCATTACACTAACTGCTGGTTCCCTCCCACCCCACTTGACCTCTGACCTGGCCTATTAGTTGTCCCTGCTCAGAGGGGGAAACCTGAAGGTCTTGGTTACACTCTGCATTCCCCCCCTCCACTGCCATGGATAGGGCCAGTTTCTGACTTGCTCTACACCCCCAGGGCCTCCAGTGCCATAGGACAAACAAAGTTGACCTGGCCCAGCCTTTGTCTCCAGCCCTGGCCGGATGTTTTGTGTTTTCCTCACCATCAGGCTTCCCCAGGGTGGCTGGTGGGATTCTGGCAGGAAACAGTGAGGGTTGGGGAACAAGCATGGAGCCCATCACCAACTGAAGGACGGTGGGAGGAACTTCAGCAGCAGCAGTGGAGGTGTGGACAGGTGAGTTCCGTCTGCAGCCCGGTAGCCAGGGGAAAGGTTCCCTTTGGAAAGGAGAGAAAGAAGAGCCCTGGGACAGTCATTTCTCATTCTTCTTGCCTCCTTCCAGCTGTTTTCTCCAAACTCTGCCCTCTGCCCACTTGACTGCCCAACCCTGACCCTGAGTGTGGTGTTTGATTTGGAACAGGAGGACAGATGTTTACGTGGGCCACTTTAGGTCCAGGATCTGACCTCAGTCCAGGTCTGACCTTTGGTCCCTTCACTCCCCGCCATAAGACTCTGCCCTTGGCTGCTTGCATGTTATCCATCAGGCCTTCTGACTGGAGCCACCACACAGACACCAGGACCCTCGAAAGCTGAGAGGCACCCTGCACCCCGGCCCTGTCTGTCTGGTTCTCTTTCTGTCTCCGCTTCCGTGTTCAGAATCAAGAGCCTGAAGACAGCCCAGCAGCTTTAGTGATGGCCATCTTCATCATTTGGTCCCTATTTAGTGTTCTGGCAGCAGGCATGGGTGAAGGTGGGGCTGAGAGTAAGAAAAGCGTCGAGAGGGAATGTAAACCCAGCCTGACTCCCAACTGCCCCTCCGTATCACCTAGTGCCTCACCCAGGACACACCCCAGCCAGAGCCAGCTGTTTGCAGACCTGAGCCCAGAGGAGCTAACCGCTGTGATGAGCTTTCTGACCCAGCAGCTGGGGCCGGGGCTGGTGCATGCAGCCCAGGCCCGCCCCTCAGACAACTGCATCTTCTCCGTGGAGCTGCAGCTGCCCCCCAAGGCTGCAGCCCTGGCCCACTTGGACAAGGGGAGCCCCCCACCTGCCCGGGAGGCACTGGCCATCGTCTTCTTTGGTGGACAACCCCACCCCAACGTGACTGAGCTGGTGGTGGGACCGTTGCCTCAACCCTCCTACATGAGGGACGTGACTGTGGAGCGTCATGGGGGTCCCCTGCCCTATCACCGACGCCCTGTGCTGATGCGAGAGTACCTGGACATAGACCAGATGATCTTCGACAGAGAGCTGCCCCAGGCTGCTGGTCTTCTCCACCACTGTTGCTTCTACAAAGGACAAAAAAGGAACCTGGTGGCTATGAACACAGCCCCCCGTGGTCTGCAATCAGGGGACCGGGCCACCTGGTTTGGCCTCTACTACAATATCTCAGGGGCTGGGTTTTTCCTGCACCCTGTGGGGTTGGAGCTGCTGGTAGACCACAAGGCTCTGGACCCTGCCCACTGGACCATCCAGAAGGTGTTCTTTCAAGGCCGCTACTATGAGAGTCTGTCCCAGCTGGAGGACCAGTTTGAGGCCGGCCTGGTGAATGTGGTGCTGATCCCAGACAATGGCACAGGTGGGTCCTGGTCCCTGAAGTCCCAGGTGCCCCCGGGTCCAGCCCCCCCTCTGCAGTTCCATCCCCAAGGCCCTCGCTTCAATGTCCAAGGGAGTCGAGTGGCCTCCTCATTGTGGACTTTCTCCTTTGGCCTCGGAGCTTTCAGTGGCCTGAGGATCTTTGACATCCGCTTCCGAGGGGAGAGGGTGGCCTATGAAGTCAGCGTCCAGGAAGCCCTGGTCATCTATGGTGGAAACACTCCTTCTTCTCTACGAATCCGGTACACAGATAGCGGTTTTGGTTTGGGCCACTACTCCTCACCCCTGACCCGTGGGGTGGACTGTCCCTACCTGGCCACCTATGCTGACTGGCACTTTCTTTTGGAGTCCCAGGTCCCCAAGACAATTCATGATGCCTTCTGTGTGTTTGAACAGAACCAGGGCCTCCCCCTGCGGCGACACCACTCAGATACTGACCCCCAGTATTTTGGAGGTGTTACGGAAACGGTACTGGTCGTCAGATCTGTGTCCACCATGCTCAACTATGACTATGTGTGGGATATGGCCTTCCATCCCAATGGGGCCATAGAGGTCAGGTTACATGCCACAGGCTACATCAGCTCAGCGTTCCTTTTTGGTGATGCCCGAAGATATGGAAATCAAGTTGGGGAGCACACGCTTGGCACCATCCACACCCACAGCGCCCACTTCAAGGTGGATCTGGATGTAGCAGGTAAGACTTCTGATAGGAGTCCAGCAGATAATGTGGTGGTTGAGTCGTACACTCCCACTTGGCCGATGACAGTTAGGTTCCAGACGTGGTGGCTTGCTTTCTTACTTTCCCTCTCCTCCTCTGTTGAGCACATGTGCCTATAGGAAAATAAAATATAATAATAATAAAATAATTATTTAAGACCAAAAAAGGGCGTCTGCTAGGACAGGGATGCCAGGGTTGGGGCTCAAATCTCCATGTCTAAATTTAAAAGGTTTCCTTTAAATGTTAAAAATGTGAAAGGGGCCAGCAGGTGGTATGGTGGTTAAGGCACTGGATACACCTACATGACTGACCATGGTTCAAGTCCTGGACCTGTGGCTTGTTTTCTCACTTTCCTTCTCTCTGTCTCTCTCTAGTCAAATTAAAATAAATGAATGAATAAATAAAATTAAATAAATAACTTTTTTTAAAAAAAGAGAATTATTTATTTATTTTTATTTGTCATTGTTTGGAATTTATCCTCCTCCCAGGTTTTCACCCTTAGCAGAGTGGTTAGTCTCTCATACTTAAAAAATAATTTTAGGGACCAGTGGATAGTGTAATGGTTACACCACTGGACTCCCATGTATTCAACCACAGTTTGAGTTCCAGACCTGGTGGCTTAAAACTCATGCTGGGAGGAACCAGCAGTTGATGTAATGGCTATGTTGCTGGACTCCCATGTAGTCAACCACAGTTTGAGTCCCGGACCCAGTGGCTTAAACTCATGCTGGGTGCACGGGCGTGTGTGCCCAAGATCTCAAGAGGAGTGGCCAACATCCCTGGGGAGGGGGGGGTTGATTTCTCGTTTTCTGTCTCTCTGTCTTTCTGGCAAGTGCACTTGCCCTATAGCAAAAAACTCTAAAAAAACAAACAAACAAGCAAAACCACTTCATGCCGGGTGTGTGTGTGTGTGTGTGTGTGTGTGTGTGTGTATGCCAGGATCCTGAAAAGAGAATGGAAAAGGAGTTGCAGTGTGGCCATTCCCCCTGGGAGGTGATTTCTAATTTTCTGTCTCTCTGTCTCTCCAGTAAGCACACATACCCTATAGCAAAAATCTCTCTAAAAAATTAATTAATTAAAATAAATTTTATACGTTAAACAAGTGCCTCTGCAATTATAGAATTTATTGTATTGCATATCATGTACAAATATGATATAGTCGTATGCATATTTAGATTCCAGTTAACAAAATGGGATCAACACATACATATATTTTGCCATTTCTATTTTTTTCATGTACCAACATCATTTTAGTAAACAACAAATATTTACTGAATGCATATGGTGCCAAGAACTCCACTATGTAATTTTTTTTTGCACAAATAAAATATGGAATGCTTCATGAATTTGCATGTCATACCTACACAAGGACCATGCTGATCTACTTTGTATCATCCAATTTTTTTTTGGGGGGGGGAGAGATTTTAGCGAGAGGGTATGTACGCTCATCAGAAAGACAGAGAGGGAGAGACAGAGACAAAAAGTGAGAAATCACCCCCCAGTGGGGATGGCCACACGCAATCCCTTCTCCTCCCATTCTTCTCTCAGGATCTTGGGCACGCACACACACGCACCCAGCGTGAGTTTAAGCTGCCAGGTCCAGGACTCGAACTGTGGTCAACTACATGGGAGTCCAGTGATGTAGCCATTACGTCATCTGCTGGTACCTATATCATCCAATTTTATCATCCAATTTTCCAAGATTGTATATGTGCTGCTGAAGGGAGCACTCTACTATGCAATTTTTTTTTTTTTGAGAGATTTTCACTGTAGGGCGCGTGCGCTCGCCAGACAGACAGAGAGAGACATAGAGACAGAAAGCGAGAAATCACCCCCCAGGGGGGATGGTCACGCCGCAATCCCTTCTCCTCCATTCTCCTCTCGGGATCTTGGGCATGCACGCACACGCGCCCGGCGTGAGTTTTAAGCCACCGGGTCCGGGACACGAACCGCGGTCGACTACATGGGAGTCCAGCGACATAGCCATTACGCTAACTGCTGGTTCCCTCTACTATGCAATTTTTAAAAAGAATTTTTTATTTCATTTTATTTATTCATTTATTTACTTTAATTTGACCAGAGAGAGAGAGAGAAAGGGAAAGTGAGAAAACAAGCCACCAGGTCCGGGACTCGAACCGTGGTCAGCCATGTGGGAGCGTCCAGTGCTTTAACCATCATGCCACCTGCTAGTCCCTCTACTATGCAATTTGATAAAAGAAACTACATGCTTGCTCTCAGGAGGCTTACATTCTAATGGAGGAGTGGAATGCATTGAGAACTCCTGGAACAATATTTATGATAGACTCAGTTTCTGGACCTCAATGTATTCAAGTGTAAAAATGAAGCAACAGCACCTTCCTCATAGGATTGTTGTGAAGATTAATAATAATCTTTTGGAACCAGCAGTTAGCGTAATGGCTATGTCGCTGGACTCCCACGTAGTCGACCGCAGTTCGCGTCCCAGACCTGGGGGCTTAAAACTCACGCCGGCCACATGTGCGTGCGTGCCCAAGATCCCGAGAGGAGAATGGAGGAGAAGGGATTGCGGTGTGACCATCCCCCCTGGGGGGTGATTTCCCGCTTTCTGTCCCTCTGACTCTCTCTGTCTGTCTGGGGAGCGCATGCACCCTATAGCAAAAAAAAAAAAAAAACAAAAAACTATAAAAAAAGATTAATAATAATCTCTTTAATACTTTTTAAAAGATTATTTTCTCCTTCTTTTTTTTTTTTTTTTGGTAGTTTATAGGATACTTGCACTCTCTGGGGAAGGAGAGAGAAAGTGAGAAGAGAAATCACGCCCCAGGGAAAATGGCCAGGCCACAATCCCTTCGCCTTCATTCTCCTCTTGGGATTTGATTACATATGCATGCAAGTGCCCAGCATGATTTTCTTCCTATTTTTAGATTTTTGCCATAGGTCACGTGTGCTCACTGGAGAGAGACAGAGAGAGGGAAAATGAGAAATTACTCCTTAGGGGAATGGCCACACCATAATCCCTTCTCCTCTTCTCTCCTCTCGGGATTCTGGGCACATACACACATAGTCCCTGTGTGATTTTCAAGTTGCTGGGTCTGGGACTAGAACTGCACAGTTGACCATGTGGAATCCAGCCTCCTTAACCTCCATACTCCCTGCTGGTCCAAACAAGTTTCCTTTGTTTTCTGAAATAACTTTAGACATACAGAAAAATTGCAAACATACTAACTTTTTTTTTTTTTTTTTTTTTAGATAGAGGGAGAGAGATTGAGTGTAGTGGAGAGTGAGAAGTAGGGACATTTTGACAGGGTCTCACGGCATAGCGATCTTCCTGCACCAGCCTCCCAGTTAGCTAGGATTATGGCTGTACCACTGCGCCCAACCTGTTTATCTCAGGTCAAGCTTGGGCCTTTCTTGCAGCCTCTATTGCACAGCAGGTGCCCTCCTGCTTATGCCATCACCATGAGGCTCGGCTTTCGATATCAATATCCTACAGCACTGTGGGCAACAATCCAAACAGGAAATCAGGGAGGGCTGGCAAATGATGTGGTGGATGACATGCTGGATTCCTACATGGCCAACCATGGTTCAAGTCCCAGACCTGGAAGCTTGCTTTCTCACTTTCCCTCTCTTTCAAAAAATTAAAACAGGAAATCTGCATTATTCCAATGCTATTAATTAATTTACAAACCTTTTTAGAAATTCAGTAGTTCTTCTATTGATATTCTTTCCCTGTTTCAGAATCTAGTCCAGGTCCCCACATTGCATTTACTCTCCTCCAATCTGTTCCTTAGGTTGTCCTTGGTTTCTGTGATCCTTGACACTCTGGAAGGGTACTGGTCGATTCTTTAGCAGAATGTCTCTCAGTTTGGGTTTCTCTGATGTTTTATCATGATTAGATTGATATAGCCATTGTGTGTGTGTGTGTGTGTGTTTTTTTCCCAAGAAGACTACAAAAATGATGTTCTGTCCTTCCCAGTGCATCAAATCAAGGGGTATAAGATGTTGATGCTAGTGCTGTTGACCTCACGCACTTGCATAAGATGGTGTCTTCCAGTTTCCCTCTCATAAAAGTTAATATTTTCTATTTGCAGTAAATAACTATCTTGGGGAAAATACGTTGATGCTAGGCAAATATCTTATTTCCTTTTTCTCAAATTTTTGCTTATTACTTTTAGCATCTATTGATGAATTTTTGCCTACAATGGTTATTCCCGTAGTGTTTCCTCACTAGTCATTAAAATCATTTCCCTTTTGAAAACATATTTTTAGGAGTTGGCCAGTGATGTGGTGGGTTAAGGCACTGGACTCTCACATGACCAACCACAGTTCGAGTCCCAGATTTGGCAACTTGCTTTCTCACTTTCCCTTTCTCTCTGTGGTCAACTTAAAATAATAGTAATAAATAAATAAAACAAAATAATTATACAATAAGTTATTTTTCAATTGACACAGAAAATTGTACATGTTTATGTTGCACAACATGTTGCTTTCAAATATGTATATGTTGTGGAATGGCTAAGTTGAACTAATTAACACATGGGTTACCTCACATACATATCATTTAAAAAAATTTTTGCTAGAGAGTATGTGTACTTTGCCAGAGAAAAACAGAAAGACAGAGAAAGGAGAGGGAGAAGGCACTGCCCCACTCGGGGTGTGGTCACACAGAAATCCCTTCTCCTCCATTTTCCTCCAATTGGGACGCACATGTACACATGCCTAGCATGTTTTCCAAGTTCCAGGGCCAGGATTCAAACTGCAGTTGGCCATATGGAATCTAGCTCCCTTAACCACTAGGCCACAGGGCTGGCCCAACTTAGTTATTTTTTGTGATGAGAACCAATACTTAAAATGTACTCTTGGTTCAGGACCAGCAGGTGGCATGGTGGTTGAGGTGCTGGACACTCCCACATGGCTGACTATGGTTTGAGTCCTGGACCTGGTGGCTTACTTTCTCACTTTCTCTCTCTCTCTCTAATCAAATTAAAATAAATGAATGAATAAATAAAATTAAGTAAAATAATTCTTTTAAAAAGAATTGGCCCAACTGCAGAGATACACACTGCTATGACACTGTTCCACAGGCTGGGACATAGGAGACGTGGATTTGATTCCAGGTCCAAGCTAAAGACTGGGCATGGTGGCAGGTACCTGTGATTTCAGAGATTTGGAAGGCTGAGGCAAGAGTGGTCTCACAACAGTGAGACCCTGTCTTTAAAAAACAATGAAAGGGGTGAAGTGATTAAGGCACTAAATTCCCTACATGACCAACATGGTTTGAGTCTTAGACTTGGCAGCTTAAAAATCACTCCAGGCACATGTGCAAGCATGCCCAAAATCCTGAGAGGAAAATGGAGGAGAAGGGATTGCGGCATGGCCATCCCTTCTGGGAGTGATTTCTCACTTTCTGTCTCTCTCACTCTCTCTGTCTCTCTCCAGTCAGTACACATGCCCTATAACAGAAATCTAAACAAACAAACAAAATTACTCTCTTAGGTATTTTCAAGACTATAACAGAGCCTTATTAAGTGTAGTCACCATGTTATACAATTGCTCTCTTGAACTTATTCCTCCCACCTAACTAAACTTTTGTATTCTTTGACCAACATCTCCCCAAGCACTTCACTCAGCCCTTGGTAATCACCATTCTATTCTCTATTTCTATGACTTCAACTTTTTTAGATTCTACATATAAACTAGATTATGTGGTATTGGCTCTTAGTGCCTGGCTTATTTCACGTAATATAACGTCCTCTAGGTTCATCTACATTGTCACATCTAGGGAATTTCCTTCTTTATGAAGACTGAATAGTATTCTCTTTATCCATTTAAATTTTCTCCTCGGGTCAGCAAGGCAGGGTGGTGGTGAAGGTGGCTGGATCCCACGTGGCCAGCACTGCCGTTCGAGTCAAGGACCTGGCAGTTTGAAAATCACTCCAGAGGCATGTGTGTGCGTGCCCAAAGTCCCAAGAGGAGTCTGGAGGAGAAGGGATTGATTGCAGCATGGCCATCCCCCACCATGGGGGTGGTGGTTTCTCACGTTCTCTCTCTCTTTTTCCAGAGAGCACACATGTCCTATAACAAACTTTTTAAAAATTTTGTCTTTATTTCTTATATATTTCATATTTGGAATTCTCCATAAGGAAGTGTTGCTTCTCTTTTTTCATGTATTCATTTATTTACTCATAATTGTGTAGATTGATGGTTATTTATTGTATGTATTCTAATGGTTATAACCCAGTGATATCTTTTATTTTGCTCCTTGCATTATTCCACATTTGGCCATTGGGAGGTCCTTTGGGTTGGTTCCTGTGTCCTTTGACATACCTCTATCCTTTTCTGAGCACTTCCTTACTTCCGGCACCACAAGATAGTCCGATTTTATATGATAGATGACCTGCTCCAACCCTGTGGTCAACCACTTCTCTGAGGAGCTCTAGTTCCTTTGATTGGAGAATGGTATTTAGAAACTGAGATCTGGGCACTAGGGACATCATTGCTTTTTTGTTGTTGTTGTTTGAGAGGTTTTTGCTATGGGGTGAGTGTGCTTGCCAGAAAGCCAGAGAGAGACAGAGAGACAGAAAGTGAGAAATCACCCCCCAGGGGGGATGGCCACGCTGCAATCCCTTCTCTTCCATTCTCCTCTCGGGATCTTGGGCACATACGCACACGCGCCTGGTGTGAGTTTAAGCCACCGGGTCCGGGACTTGAATCATGGTCGACTACATGGGAGTCCAGTGAAATAGCCATTATGCTAACTCGCTAACTGCTGGTCCCTTTTGTCTTTTTTTTTTTTTAATTTATGTTTTTAGGGACATCATTGTTTTGGGGCCCTCTCAGTGAACTTAGCTAGAAAATTTAAGTATATATGTCAACCCAAACATACACACCTGTCAATCTTATCTTTCTGTCTAAAAGATAACTTTTAAAGGACTTGTAACAGTACCTGACACACAGTGGCCCTTTACAAATATTAGCTGTTGTTTTGTTATTAGGCACATAAGCCCACTTGTGTGGATAGACCAGAAAGAGCTCTTAGTCTCTGGTTTTCACCTGAGGATGGAAATGCTAAGGTGTGGATTAGGGGCAGTTGAGTCCACAAAAGGAAATCAAGGCTTTGTCAAATCAGGCTCTGTTTCTTTGCCCCCGTCCTCGGAAGGTGTGGAGGAAGCTGCCAGCATGTTTGGATTTATTGCTCTTTGGTCTCAGGTGACTTGGGTTGACTCCTAATATAGGACCTCGTTAGACTCTAGGAAAATTCTTTAAAACTCCAAAGTTCCGGGAACAGACTGTGCCTTTGGCCATACTCCCAGCTCCCTGTGTAGTTCCAAACTGTAGGAGAAATCTCCAAGCCCCGTGGCATGGCGCCCAGGGTATGGTTTTCCTTCTCTTTGGGCCCCATGTCTGCTGTCCATATGCTGTGAGGTCACCTTACGCCAGCTTCCTCTGTGCGCTAACATGGGGGCGGTGTAAAGACAGACAGGTCCTCTGTACTGCTGTGATTCTAACCATGTGCCCCTGTGGACCAATCAAAGCACACTATTTTAATCCTCTAAGCCGCAGTTGTCCCATCTATAAGATGGAACAAGTATCGTCCTCCCCCACAGGGTAATTGCAACAGGCAGCAATGCACATAAAGCACTCAGCACAGCTGCGCAGAGCCCTGCAGGTTCAGCAAGTGTGAACGTTACCTTCGTGAAAAGGCAACCTGGCAATGCCACAGGGCTTTAGATGTGACGGGCACAGTCTGTCTTCAGTCACAAGGAGTCCCACGCTGGACATTGCCCATGGGCTACTCCAACCCCACATAAACCACCCTCCCTTGCAGTCCCTCAGAAGGAAAATACGGGTGGAGGCCCAGCCACAAGGCATCTGGAATCATTACCAGAGATGACATGAGAGAGAGAGCCCTTCTCCAAATCGTTAGATTGGGGATAAGATGTGGAGAGAGAAGCAGGGTGCGTGTTCAGTTTAGTTCTGGGTGGCTCTTTGGTCCCCACTTGGAAGTCAGGTGGGGGCAGAATCCAGAGAGGCCAGGGCAGCTGCTTGACAGTCCTTTCTGTGAGCAGGACTGGAGAACTGGGTCTGGGCCGAGGACATGGCCTTCGTCCCCGTGACTGTGCCCTGGAGCCCTGAGCACCAGATGCAGAGGCTGCAGATGACCCGGAAGCTGCTGGAGACAGAGGAGCAGGCGGCCTTTCCCCTGGGAGGTGCCATCCCTCGCTATGTGTACCTGGCCAGCAACCACAGCAACAAGTGGGGTCACCCACGGGGCTACCGCATCCAGCCACTCAGCTTTGCTGGGGAGCCGCTGCCACAGAACAGCTCCATGGAGAGAGGCTTCAGCTGGGGGAGGTGAGTGGTGGGCTTCAGAGGCGGTGGGGCGATGGGGTTGTACAAAGGGCCCCACATTGCTCCATCTCCTGTGAGTGCACATGTTCACACACACACACACTTCTGTGGACACAATTTAACCACTCCAAACGAAGCCTCCTAGATGGATGGCTAAGCAGCAAGATACCGTGCATTCATGCAGAGTAAACTGTGCATGGTAGATCTCGATTGCGGGATAGGCTGTTTACTACGCAATTCTTCCAACACTTCTGTGTGTTTAAAATGTTCATAGTATGGGGCTGTGCAGTGGTGCAGCAGTAGAATGCAACCCTCTGTGGGGCCGACCCTCATGAGAGGGTTCCAGGTTCAAGCGTGAGGACCTCCCTGAGTGTACCAGGTGTGCACATGCACATGATCCGGGGCCAGCTGAAGGTGGGAGTGAATTGTAGCATGGGGACCCTGTTGAGGGTGCTGTCTTTCTGTCTCTCTTTCTGTTTCTCTTGCTTATGGAAGAGATGGATGAGCAAACTTAAAAAAAAAAAAAAAAGCTGTTTGCAATAAAGGTTGGAGGAAACAATGAAGTGTAAGAGAAGAACACAGACCACAGGGAGTTTTCCCTAAACACGAGGCTTGAGATACTGAACTTGACCTAGGATGGGTATCAGGCCACACCCACGTCAACATTAGGCTGTGATCTGGATGGACAGATGAGTGACATTTCTACCCGAAGTCAGACGATGTTGAACAAACAGGAATTCTATGGGGTGGGAGGGGAAAGAGAACTGGGCAGAAAACGGTAGAGGCTTGATGTCCCAAGACCCATTTCCCCTTCATTTCCGGTCTTCAGTGTAGCTTTGGGCAATAGGTCTAATCAAAAATCACCTGTAGGTATCAACTGGCCGTGACCCAGCGGAAGGAGACGGAGCCCAGTAGCACCAGCATCTACAATTTGAATGACCCTTGGACACCCACCGTGGACTTCACTGACTTCATCAACAATGAGACGATTGCAGGACAGGTGAGTCCAATGGGCCCATGAGGGAGGAGGAAGATGAGAGGGGACAACTGGGGGAACCAAGAAAGAACGCCTTCATTCTCTCCCAAGCCAGATTCTCAGGGGTCTCTAGGGCCCACTAAAAAGAAAACTATGATTTCACAATTTTTCTGAGACATTAAGATAATATAAGCTAGTGGGCTGAGTCTTTACCTGCAAAGCCTCTGTGGGAGGAAGGGCACGTCCTTAGCAAAGCTAGACCATAGCCTGTCTCTCTTTTCCCCTGCCAGGACTTGGTGGCCTGGGTGACAGCTGGTTTCCTGCACATCCCACATGCAGAAGACATTCCCAACACGGTGACCGTGGGGAACGGTGTGGGCTTCTTCCTCCGACCCTACAACTTCTTTGATGAGGACCCCTCCTTCTACTCTGCCGACTCCATCTACTTCCAGGGGCACCAAGATGCTGGGGCCTGTGAGGTCAACCCCCTGGCTTGCCTGCCCCAGGCTGCTGCCTGTGCTCCTGACCTCCCTGCCTTCACCCACGGGGGCTTCTCTCACAACTAGGTGGTCCTGGGATGGGGCATCTGGCCAGGGTGTGAGAGGTGGGGCAGCAGCCAGGCCTGGGCTAGGTGGCCTGGTTCCCTGGTGTCCTTCTTCACAGTCCTGGGGTCCTCCCTTCTTTTCCCCAAGGTCCCCTCTTGTCCATTGCCCTCCCTGGCATCCCCTTCCCTGCCAGGAGCATCCTGAGCCTGTGATGCCTGCCCCAGGGAGAGACTCAGCTCTGCTGATCCCGGCTGTGCTGAGGCCCATCCAGAGCGGAGGGGATTGGCCAGCAGGGCCTGGGTGACGGCCAAGCTTTGCTCCTGATGACTCCTGTTACTTCTAATCATGTCTCATTAAAAAAAAAAAAAAAGATATATAATGTATATACCATAAAATTTACCTTGTACAGAGTACAGTTTAATGGGTTTTACTCTATTGACAAAGTTGTACAGCTATTGCCACTCATTTCAGAACATTTCATCACCCCATTCCTGTTAGCAGTCACTCCCCATTTACCCCTATTCTGGTCCCAGCTCTAGATAACCCCTAATCTACTTTCTATCTCTATGAATTTGCTTATATTCTGGAGTATGGAGAGTAGCCAGTCTGAAAACATGTGATAAAAACATGTGGCCTATAGACACATGCAGAAACGCGCTTCCGTAAACTACTCTAACAAGACTATTCAAAAAACATCTACAAAAAAAAAAAAAAAAAAAACATCTACATACACTGGACCAGCAGTTAGTGCAATGGCTATGTCGCTGGACTCCCATGTAGTTGACCACAGTTCGAGTCCTGGGCTCGGTGGCTTAAACTCATGCCGGGCACGTGTGGGTGCGTGCCCAAGATCCCAAGAGGAGAATGGAGGAGAAGGGATTGCTGCGTGGCCATCCCCAGTGGGGGGTGATTTCACGCTTCCCGTCTTTCTGTCTCTCTGTCTGTCTGGCAAGCGCATGCACCCTATAGCAAAAACCTCTAAAAAAAAAAAAATGTGGTCAGGGCTGGCAAGTGGCGAGGTGGTTGTAATGGCTGGACTCCCACATGGCTGACTGCGGTTCGAGTCCCGGACCTGGCAGCTTGTTTTCTTACTTTCCTTCTCTCTCTCTGGTCAACTTCAAAAAAATAAAAAAATAATTGCAATGAATAAAATTAAATAAAATAATTATTTTTTAAAAAGTGGTCTTTTGTTTCTTTCACTGTGCACAATGCTTTGGAAGTGCAGCCTGGTTAGATAGTCTATCAATAGTATTCCATTGTATGAGTAACTGCATTTCATCCACTGATCTGTTGATGGACAATAACCACTTTTTGGTTATTACAGATATCATGGCTACAAATATTTATGTATGAGTCTTCCTTTTACTTTTTTTTTAGTAGGCAGACAGCAGTATTTGCCAGAGAGAGACAGAGACAGAGAGAGAGAGAGAAGAGAGAGAGAAATAAACTCCCAGCAGGGTGTGTTCATGCTATAATCTTATTTCCTTCATTTCTTCATTCTGTCAGGATTTTGGCCACTGACACATGTGTGACTGGCATGTCTCTCAAATTGCTCAGATGGGATTCAAACTGCAGCAGGCCATCTGGGATCCAGCTTTCTATACATAGCACTTAATTGATGTGCTATGGGGCTGGCCAAAAAGTTTATTTCATGAGAGAGACAGACACCCCCAACAGAGTCTTCACCCCAGATCCATCCCTAGCCTCTGTCAGCCCAGATCACTAGAACAGTGTGTTCAACCAGGTCTCAGGGCCCATGTGGACCCAGTTGCTTTAATGCTGGGCCACCATCTAGCCACCTCCCCCACCTTCATCTTGTCTCATTATCTGAAAAAAAAAAAAAGTTTATCTCTCTTTTTTTTAGAATTATTTATTTAATTTTATTTATTCATTCATTTATTTTTTATTTTAATTTGACCAGACACACACACACACACACACACACACACACACACACACAAAGCAAGCCACCAAGTCCAGGACTCGAACCATGGTCGGCCAGGTGGGACCTTATCTACCACACCACTTGCTGGCCCCCCAAAAGTTTATCTTGTCATCCACATCTGTCTCCACTGCCAAATAATCCTCTTTCAGTTTCCCACTAGTTACCTAGACCATGTGGAGTTTGCTTTTGCACAGGAGAAGGATAGTTAAGTGACAGCAACAGGTCAGAGAGACTTATGAGTGAAATGATGACAGGTCATTCGTTATGAGGACCATGGTGACGTGAGCTTTATCACTACCACAGCCAGCCTGGGTAACCAGAATGTCACCCAGGGTGGGAATTAACAAACATTGGGATCACAGGCAACCAGGCTGAGAGCTGTCCAATCAGTGGTGGGTATGCAAATGACCCAAGCACCTTCATGGGTCTGGCTTGGCCAGGGCAGGGCAACAGCCTTCAGGGTGCTGCCCCTCCTGGGGTGTGGACTTTGAATGGGCATAAATAAGAACTGGCATATCATCCAGCAAGGGGTTTGGCAGTGGGGTGAGGTGGGGAGGAGGTAGGGCTCAAAGACCAAGCTCTCTCAGGTGCATCCAGGCTGAAGAAACCCATGGGTGGTGTGGTGTCCAAACCTCTGCTTCTATTGCCTGCTCACATTTGTCAGTGTCTTTCCTGGCAGCTGTGAGATCTAGAAAAGAGGGGGTTCCTTCCCCAACAGGAAGCCCAGGCTTCTCACTCAGCTCTAGTAGAGGGCACTGACTGGGCAGGATTGGTCAGGGCACAGAGATTTGGGTCTGCCTCAGTATGTGACCAGAAGGGAGATCACAAACTGCAAGCTCAACCACACGGAATCATGTGGTTTTCTTGAAAACTGCCTGGGCCCAGTGGTCGACCACATGAGTTGGAAAGGAACTAAGTTCTGGCAAAAGGACCTTCAAACAAAGACTAGAAGCTGAGGGAGCCCCGTTCTTTTTTTCTTTAAAGAGAGATTTTTGCTATAAGGCAAGTACACTCACCAGAGAAACAGAGAGACAGGGGGCCGGCCAGTGGAGTAGTGGTTAAGGTGCTGGAATCCCACATGGCTGAGCATGGTTCAAGTCTCAGACCTGGTGGCTTGCTCTCACTCTCTCTCTCTCCTTCTCTCATCAAATTAAAATAGTAACAATAACAAAATTAAATAAATAAATTTTTACAAAAAGAGAGAGAGAAAGACGGAGAGACAGGCATGCGTGCCTGTGAGCCAGGTTGTTGAGACTGAGGGTGGACCTTGGTATAAAAACTGTTGAGAGTCCCTGTCAACCCCCTGCCTTCTTCTCTTTCTCTCTCACTCATGGAAGAAGTAAAGTAATTAATTTTTAAGATAAGATAAGGAAATGGGGCCATGATGGGTGGAAACGGTCTGTCTTGTGCCCACAGACACCATGGGGAGCCGAGGCCGCTTCTCTGGGCTGGCCCACAGGTACTCCACCAAATGTAGAGATGGAAGAGGGGACTTGTGGCCCCAGGCTGAGGTCCACACTGGGGCCCCTGCTATTATGGCTTGCCTGCTGATCAAGAAGTGTGCAATGGGGCTCCCACTGGGGTCAGAGGACATAGCCCAAGCTGCCTGTGGAAGTATGTGCATGGAGAACTCTCAGGAAAAGACACAAGGCAGCCTTGTTGAAAGGTTCTGCTAGGAACGTGTCTTTCCAGCCTCAAAAGCAGCAGCCAGCCCCTGAGGGACGCAGCCCAGGGACATCCAAAAGGTCAGAATTGCCAAGTTCTGGAGTGTATCTGATGAGTGGGAGAAAACTTTGTGGACTTGGGCCCTTTGGGGTCCTGTAGACTGACAGACCCTGCTGAAGAGGCCTCAAACACTGTACCCCTTTCCCCCCTACACACTGAGTCAGTGTGAGTCCCTGGGGTACTTCAGGTTCATTTCTACCCTGCCAGCCTGTGTCCCCAGTCTGACACTTGGCCTGTGGCTGAGGTTGACCACGTTTGCTCTGCTCGGGCTCAGTGGACAGAGTCGCAGCTCCTGTAGCACGCCTCATTATCCCTCGAGGTCCTGCAACCAAAACAATCTCACTCAGCTGCCCAAGAAACTCGTGTATTCTTTTTTTTTTTTTTTTCACTTAATAGCTAACTTGCATTTATTAAACTCATGTATTCTTTATTCATTCAGCAAGTATTTTTCCAGTCCCTGCCCTGTGTGGGCTCCTATTAATTCCTTTTTTTTTTTTTCCAGAGAGATTTTTGCTCTAGAGTGTGTGCATTTGCCAGAGAGACAGAGGGAGACAGAGAGACAGAAATTGAGAAATCAACCCCTAGGGAGGAGGACCATGCCACTTCCCTCCTCCGTTCTCCTCTCAGGATGTTGGAGCATGCACACACAAGCACCTGGCGTGAATTTCAAGCCACTGGATCCAAGACTTGAATCTTGGATGGTCAGCCATGTGGGAGTCCAATGATATAATCATTATCCCATCTGCTGGTTCCCCCCACCACCCCGTTTTTTAAAAATTTGCTATAGGATACATGCACTTGCTAGATAGAGATAGAGAAAGAGAGAGAGAGGGAAAATGAAGAAATCACCCCTCCAGGGGGAATGGTCACTCTGCAATCTCTTCTCCATTCTTCTCTCAGGATTTAGGGTTTATACATACATACGCAGCATGTTTTTTGTGTCTGTCTGTTTTCAGAATTATTTAATTTTATTTATTACTATTATTTTTAAAAGAATTATTTTATTTAACTTTATTTATTTATTTTAATTTGACTGGAGTGGGGGGGTGGGGAGGGACAGTGAGAAGGCAAGCTGCCAGGTCCAGGACCTGAACTGTAGTTGGCTATGTGGAAGTCCAGTACCCCTAACCACTATGCCGTCTGCCAGTCCCATTATTACTATCATTTTTTAAATTTGACCAAAGAGAGAGAAAGAAAGGGAAAAAGAGAAAGCAAGCTGCCAAGTCTGGGACTGAAAGGGTAGTCAACCATGTGGGCGTCCAGTGCCCTAACTGCCATGCCACCTGCTGGCCCTATTTTTTTTTAAGTTCTCTTTTTATTATTATTTTTTAATTTGTTATTTTATCTTATTATTTTAAAAAATTTGCCATAAGGCATGTGTGCTCACTAGAGAGAGAGGAATAGGGAAAG